CAACTGCATCCTGGCCCATCCTCACCCTTCTGCCCCCAACCCTCACCTCCTTATACCCCCAATGTTTTTCCCAATTAAAAAAAATTAATAATAGTAGACCAAATGCTATATCAGGATATGAGGGAGGCTTAATACAAGCTGACGGTCACCCTGTGGCACTAAGGCATTCCCTAATAGTCAACATTGTTCTTAGTTTGCATTTACTGAATTCCTCCCTCCTGAGATAAGCATAAAGTAAACGATAGGAACTTGGCCTTAACTGGAAAAGACTTGTTTTTGTTTTGTACTCCCTTATGATTTTACTTTGTTTACCTTCCTTATGATTCTCAATAAATACCCAGAAAGGCATGGCTTGAGGCCTTCAATCAATTGCTGGGCCCCTGTTTTTCATGCTCTCTGTTCTATCTCATTCCTGTCTGACTGTCTCATTATTAATAATTATAAAAATACTTTACCCTTGATCTGCAACAGACAAACATTTTGTTAAAGACATACGAGATTTGAGGAATCTTTAAGATACCCAGTTTTAGGACCTTACTGTCAGCTTAACTGCAGAATATTACAAAAAAAAAAATCTCCCTAACTACTGTCCCCTTACATCACGAACTCTTCCACGAATATTCCTACACAGTATACCAAAGATACATTGAGAAAAATCTGTCATCTTAAGAACTTTCATAAAAGAGACTTTTTTTTTTTTTAACCAGAGAGACTAGTAGTATTCCCTCCATCCTCTTTTAATGTGTCCTGGGTCATTGAAGATTTCGCCCATCACACCTTTCAGTATTGCAATTTGAGGCTTGAATTTATTAAATAAAATTTTAAAAAAAAAACAAAAAACCTAAAACGAAAAACCCAATAGGCTGACAGTGAAACCGTGGTATGGTTCAATATTGTACCATTGGTTTTTGATTGTCTTGTTACCTCTTGAAATGGCTAAGAGTTGAGTCTTTTTCGTGTAGCTGGTATTCAAGATGTAGTAGTTTTGCCAGAGTAAATTAACACAACCCCAGTAACTTTTATCTCTCTCTCTTTCATTGTCTTCAAGGTGGAATCATCTCAAAGCTGACACTTCAATGGGTTTTTCAGAGGCTGTAAATTTTGCACAGAAGACTGTCCATCTTTCTCCCCATGGAGCAGTTGGTGAATTCGAATCACTTTTCTTTGGACTGGTTCAACTCTTTACCCATTAGGCCACCAGAGCTCCCTTCTGTAATCAAGTCTTTTAAGAAAAAATTTAAGCAAATGTTTTTCTATTGTATTTGCAATAATCTCCAGAAACACATTGCTTTAATCTGCCAAAGTTAACAGTGCACTATGACCATTAGACCTCAAATCTGTGAACTCTCCTTCTCTTTATCAAAGCATCCAGTAGAATTTATAATCATATTGAGAGTTCACACGTAGAGTATTGATCTATTACACTGTTGACATATTGTTATGAGTTACCTATGACTCATAGTGACCCTTTGTACAAAAGCTCTGAAGCCTGCCCTGTCCTAAGCCAATCTCACTGACTCTGACACACCTACACCCATTGCCCTAGTTACTGTTATCAATCCATCTCATCTTTCAGGGGTCTTTCTCTCCTGCGCTGTCCCTTCACCCTTCTGAGCATGATGTCCTTCTCCAAGGACTGGTCTCTCCTGGCTACATGCCCCAAGGATTTCAAAATCCTAGCCTCCAAGGAGAAACTTGGTTTCACTCTCTCTAAGACAGACCTATTTGTTTTCTTGACAGTCCATGTCATGTTCAAGACTGTTCTCTAGCATCACAACTCAAAGGCATCAATTCTTCTATCATCCTTAGCCATTATCTATAGCCATTATCCTTAGCCATTATGCATAGAAAGTAACTGAGAAGACCAAGGACTGGATCAGGCACACTTTTTAGATCTAGACTTACATTGTTCATTCTCAGTACTCTGGAAAGGTCCCTGACATCAGATTTACCTAATGCAATGC